GGCCGCGGCCCACAGATCCGCGCTTCCTCGAATCCTTGGGCTTTTTTGAAAATTCCAGGGGAGGAAGGGTTCCCGGCTGCTCTTGGGCCGGGGGGACTCTGCGCTGGGGTGGCCCCAATTTGCAGGTGGGTAAACTGAGGCCGAACCGCAGTTTGGTTCTTGGTTTTGTCGGCGTTGGCCGCGCGGTGTGGACGTGGTCCGCGCTCTCCCTCCACCACGGTCAGACTGGTGAAGCTCCAAGGAGAACAGGGCACAGGGACCCCTGCCCTCAGTTGGTTGGCCGCCTTCCCATATGTCGATGCCTCTCAGCTGTCGCCCCTGGGCTGAACCCCTTCCCCCGAGCCTCGCCGGGCCCCTCCTGCGCTGCTGCGAGCGAGCGGGGGAGCTGGTAGCGCCGCCTCGCAGGCTAAGTGAGAGGGTGAGTGAGGCGCGCCTGGCACCGTGCCTGCACGAGAGCCGCCGGGGCACTTGTCACCCTGTGCCCCCAATACCCAGCCCTTGGCCCGTGAGCTCAGCGCCATTCCGGACTGGCCGACCCTCCCGTTGGGCACTGGGTTGGGGAAGATGGTATTTTAAAGTCTGCTTGAAATCCAAGCTTGGCGAGCAGGCTGCCTGGGTTTGAATCACTGCGCAGCCTCACTGAGCTGTGTGACCTTGGGCAATGCACGTAACTTCTCAGAGCCCGCAGCGAGCCTGCACTTGCAGGTGCAGGTCGCAGCCGCCCAACTGCAAGGTTGTTTGCAGGAGATTCTCTGGGTCCAGTCCTAGGTCTGAGATGCCTGTCAGGGGCTCTGCCAACTTCTGTCAAGCAGCTATGATTATGATCAAAGTGACTGGCCAAGAGTGCTGCCCTGGAAGAGTCCCTGGGAGTGACCTGCGGGTGATTCCCAGGGTGGGCTCCTGAGCCACAGGCCTGGGAGCAGGAACCCCTGAGTGACCTTGGGGACAGCCCCTTTGTCCCCCAAGGCCCCAGCTTCCCCTTCTGTCTGAGGAGCCTGGGGGCAGGGGTGTCTGGTGTGAGTTCCCTCTTCCACAGGACAGGGGTTAGGGCTAGAATGTACCGCTCCCCCACAGCAGAACCTGCCATACCCCAGTGCCAGCCTGGTCCAGCAGAGAGAGACAACCCTCTGGGTTCCAGTGCCAGCTTGATCCAACAGAGAGAGACAGCCCTTCGGGTACCAGTGTGCCAGCAGTCCTAGCAGAAACCAGGGCAAGAGGTGTTTCCACTCTGCGCAGAGACAGAGCTGGTTTGCGGACCAGCTTGGCAGCTGGCTTTGCTAGCCTGGGCGGCACTGCGTCCCCCCTCCCCTAGCCTCCCTGGAGGAGCCCCAGAAGGTGGGCGCAGTGAACTGTGCCCAGCTGGGCCAGGCAACACCCATGATGTGCCCAGTTAAGTGAGAAGGTGACAGTGCATGTGCCCGGGGGCGAGACCCTTCATGGTATTGGACCTGGCCCAGGCCCCACACCCTCTGGGGAGGCAGGTTCCTGGGAGTTGGGGTCCCCCCCAGGACCTCGATGACTTCTTGTGGCACCTGCCAGATGACACGCGAACCCGATGGCCTTATGGCCTTTTCTTTTCCACGTGTCGTAACCGTTCTCACGGTCCCCACCACATCATGCACATTCTGCACATTGAGAGACTGAGGCCAGTAGGGCCAGTTTAGCACACTGAGTCACAGTGGCTCAGAGTGGCATGGGGGAGGGAGGGGCCTTGAGTGTGTGAGTAGGCTGTGGAGTGAGTTTTGGTTTCAGGGCCTGGTGACGAGGCAGGGATACTTGAGGACCCCTTGTGAAGCTCCAAGGAGAACAGGGCACAGGGACCCCTGCCCTCAGTTGGTTGTGACTGAGGCAGGATTGTCCTTTGGAACACATGGGGGGCTTGAAGCCAGACACTGTAGCGCTGTAGGGTGCTAGCAGCCCTTTTGTTTTTGTGTGTCCCGGAACCCAATCAGCTCTGTGAGCCTTGGGGCACTGGGCACAGTGAGGGTGCTGACCCTGTCGTGCAGGGTAGCCGTAGGTGCGCCCTACTGGGACTCCTGGGGGTGGTATTAACTAGTATGCTCCTCGAGTTCATCCAGACAAACAGGGCTCTGTCACAGGGACGTGTGTGGCCTCTGCTCTGGCAGAACTCCCTTGAGGGAAGTGTTTGGGGAGCTAGAAGGGGGTACAGTAAGAGGAACCCCCACAGATGGGAGAGGCAGGCTTTAAAACTCAAAACCTACTGCCAGTGAGTCGATTCCAACCCATAGTGATCTTACTGGACAAAGTAGAACTGCCCCCTGTGGGTTTTCAAGGCTGTAAATCTTTACGGGAACAGAAAGCCTCGTCTTGCTCCCTGAAAGCCTCTGGTTGTTTGGAACTGCTGACCTTGGGCTTACCAGCCCAACTTGCAGCCCACTACACTAGAGGTGGCTTTTAGACCTCGCTTTTCCAGCAGTGGGGTAGGAGCCAGGGCCTGCATCATCCTTGGCAGAGAGAGGCAGGATGAGAGTGTAGAGTTGGAGGGGTTGCGAATGGTCCCTCAGAGTTGGGGAGGGTCCGATGGCCTTAGGTTTTGTGTGTTCGTCTTGGTCCTGCCCAAGCAGCCCAGCATAGGAGATGTCACGGAGGTGGGTGTCAGGACACACATACCCCCACCTCAGGGTAAGTGCCCGCCCAGTGTCTTCCCTGGCAGTCCCCCACTGTGATCTGGGCCCCCAACTGGCCTGGCTGCCCTCACCCTGGGAAAACCCCACCTTTGGATCCGCTTGGCTTCACTGCTGGTTCCCTGTTGCTGCATTGACTGCAGCAGCCTTGGGCAGTTTAAGCGCTCTGACCCTGAGTCTCCTCCTGTCGGATGAGGGTGGTGGTGACAGCAGTGGTGATTAGTGCAGGCCGCTGGGAGAACCAGGTGCCTGTGCTGAAGCAATGTTAGCGATGTGGGTGGTGAGAGGGAAATGGTGGCTCATTGGAGGATGTCACCCTGCACCACGAAGACCCACGTTCTGTTCCCATAGAGCCACATCTGTCACTGGAGGCTGGCATGTTGTAGTCATGCTGAATGGCTTTCGGTGGAGCTTCCAGACTAATAAGATAGGCTAGGAAGAAAGGCCTGGTGATCTACTTAACAGGTTGCCATTGCAAACCCTGAGGAGTGCAGTGGCCAGTCTGCCACCAACCTCGGGCACAGAGAGGGCCTGTGACCAGATGGCAGTGGATGACCATTTTGATGATGTTTCTTAGGCGGCCAGGGCTTCCTCAGAGTCTGTCCTGCCCCAGCGGTGCCCCTCTCTTGCGCGCTCTGTCCTGTGGGTGCTGCTGAAGCAGGACAGGGGCCGCTGTCTTACAGGAACACCTCTGCTCAGAGAGGCCCTGGAGCACCAACACAGTGGTAAGCAGGTGCACTGGGTCCTACCCAGTCTCAAGGAGGCCGATGGAGGAGAAGGTCTGTCCTCCGTGCCTGGCCTTTTCTTAGCACCCTGCTCCTGGCTGCTTGGCCCTCTGGGTCATTTGGGACAGATATGGGGGCTTATGCAGGATTCCAGTGGGTAGGGATGAGCACCGCTAACTCTGGGCTCCTCTGCCTCATCCCTGTCACTGGGCTGGGGACGCTCGGCAAGCGTTTGTTGAGCACTTACTGTGGAGTCCCTAAGTGGCACAGTGAAGTGCTTCACCGCTCACTGAAAGCCTGGTGATTTGAACCCACCAGTGCTGCTGCCAAAGAAAGGCCTGGCAGTTTCCTTGCCAAGCCCTGCTGAGCACCGTGCTCAGCGACCGGCCGCACACAGAGCCGCGTGAGCCAACGGCAGCGAGCATCAGGTGTAACAAGAGCTGCATGTCTGTGGTCAGCTGGGCTCAGAGCAGTGGACCCCACAGACCGAGACCACTGCAGGGAGGCGTCAACAGCAGTGGCCACTGCCCCTGGCCCAGGAGAGTCACAGAAAGCAGAGTTGTAGGAAAGGCTGGGTTAGGAGCACGGTGGTCTGGGAGAGCTTCCCAGAAGAGGCACCTCCGAGAAGGAACCTGAATGGCAAGGCCCTGAGGTGAGGAGGGAGGGGGGGGGGGCAGGAGTGTGGGAATAATGGCACTGGGTTGGGGAAGATGGTATTTTAAAGTCTGCTTGAAATCCAAGCTTGGCGAGCAGGCTGCCTGGGTTTGAATCACTGCGCAGCCTCACTGAGCTGTGTGACCTTGGGCAATGCACGTAACTTCTCAGAGCCCGCAGCGAGCCTGCACTTGCAGGTGCAGGTCGCAGCCGCCCAACTGCAAGGTTGTTTGCAGGAGATTCTCTGGGTCCAGTCCTAGGTCTGAGATGCCTGTCAGGGGCTCTGCCAACTTCTGTCAAGCAGCTATGATTATGATCAAAGTGACTGGCCAAGAGTGCTGCCCTGGAAGAGTCCCTGGGAGTGACCTGCGGGTGATTCCCAGGGTGGGCTCCTGAGCCACAGGCCTGGGAGCAGGAACCCCTGAGTGACCTTGGGGACAGCCCCTTTGTCCCCCAAGGCCCCAGCTTCCCCTTCTGTCTGAGGAGCCTGGGGGCAGGGGTGTCTGGTGTGAGTTCCCTCTTCCACAGGACAGGGGTTAGGGCTAGAATGTACCGCTCCCCCACAGCAGAACCTGCCATACCCCAGTGCCAGCCTGGTCCAGCAGAGAGAGACAACCCTCTGGGTTCCAGTGCCAGCTTGATCCAACAGAGAGAGACAGCCCTTCGGGTACCAGTGTGCCAGCAGTCCTAGCAGAAACCAGGGCAAGAGGTGTTTCCACTCTGCGCAGAGACAGAGCTGGTTTGCGGACCAGCTTGGCAGCTGGCTTTGCTAGCCTGGGCGGCACTGCGTCCCCCCTCCCCTAGCCTCCCTGGAGGAGCCCCAGAAGGTGGGCGCAGTGAACTGTGCCCAGCTGGGCCAGGCAACACCCATGATGTGCCCAGTTAAGTGAGAAGGTGACAGTGCATGTGCCCGGGGGCGAGACCCTT